AAAATAAATTTAAATGATAAAATAAAAAATAAACTTGATATCTTTTTTATTTATTTAGAGTGTGATTTAATGTCTTAATTTATTTTTTTAAAGAATAATTTATGTCATTTTTATTTGATTTAATTAAATCTTAAATTACTTTATTTTGGTTTAATTACAAAAATATATTTTATCAGATGAAATATTTTTTAAAACTTATATGTTTTTAGATTTTATCCAAGTTAATGAATTATAATCACATTTATAATTTTATTTTAAGTTTTATAATTTTTCTTTTCAATTCAGATTGTTTTAGTTTGACAAAAGATTTAAAAATAATAATAAAACTAATAATTACTAATTTATAAGAAATTATAAAATGCATATGACTTGTTTTACTGTTATTGAATACTATAAAAAATAATAAACATTTTTAGGATTGAATTTCTTTATTACTTGTCATTATAAAACTGAATTTATAATATAAGAACGGATTTTTTATTATGTATAATCTTGCACAAGATAAATTTCAATAAATATACCACTTAACTAATCTGTATTAATTATTTTATCATAATTTTTTTTACCCTCTCCTGTTAGTTAAGTGGTGCATTTATTAAGGTTTATCCGGTACAAGGTTGCCCATGTTAGAAAAATTCTTACAAAAAAATGATTTAAAAACTTAATTTTAGTTTTGAATATTAAGCAAGCCAATAAAATGTTTGCGTTACTTAGCTACCCATAACTTCCAGCTCCATTTTAAATATATGTTTCTCACCAAATGAGTACGTACCTCATTCAAGAATATTTTGTGGATTTTGGAAAAGATTTTGTGTTTTGCTCAAATATTTAATGCTGGGAGCCGATACATTCAAGAAAATGAAGATTCAGACATGATTTGATTTAAATCAAGAAAAATGTTGCTAGTACACTTATAATTATTGGTTAAAATTTATTTAAAAATAAAAAAAGTATGAGTCCCACTCTTAAGTTAATTATTCTCAGCTCTAATTTAGTTATTATTACTCATAATTTTATAGTATTCAATAAATATTGGCCAATAATTGCAGTGTGTTAAATAAGTATGTTGTTGGCACTCCTTTTAAATTAATCTCATATCTTTTTATAAGTACAAGAAATCAATTATCTTACTAAGGCTTTTTACTTTTAAAAACTTTATTTAGGGTTTATTATTTTAAAAAGTTCATATTTCAAAAGGTAATCAAAAGTAATAAGTATGTCAATCACTTTTTAAAAGCTTTGTTTAAGAATTAATTTCAAGAAAAGGAAAGACAAAGAAAGAAGGAAACAAACGATATATTTGATAGCAATTGTTTTGAAGTTTTAAAATACGAGGAAAAGTTTCTATAAACCTATTTTTTTTTTTTTCATAAACTCATGTTTTTAAGTTTCCTAAACTTCAGAACTTTGGTTCATCTTTTGGTTTATTTTAAAGAGAGCCTAAGTCATGGATGCCTTAAATAAAAACTATCAAACATCGTAATGTATTATGGGCACATGATGTGACTGCTCTTTGACTTAATATGCCTAATCTTAACTATTGTTGTAAACACCTTTTAAGATTGGTAGAACCGATCTTAGTTATGAATAATCTTTTTTAATTGTTAAAATATCAAATCATAGCATAAGACATTATCACTCTAAACATTTGACAAGTTTAATCTTAGCAGTGACATATTTATACAGGCACTTGATGAAACCATCTATTCTTACTTGACGTGTAGTTCCTCACTTGATATGTATAACTTATTTGATCTTTGAGCTTACGTGCATGACATACTTCTTAATGAAAGACAAATGTGATATAATTGGATTAAAAGGTAAGCATTTACATCTAATTAGGAGTGATTGCATCAAGATACCTAGTTATTTCTTGCACTTAAATGTTAAAGTTCATTTCTAACTTTTTAGGAGTGAGGTGAATCTAACCTTAAAAAATTATTCTGAATAAAATTAATCTCAATTAAAATACTAAAAGAGTGGAGATGAATTCTATAAAACATTTTGTTGTTTCCTTCCTATTATTGGTATATACATATGTTAAATCAATACATGATCATATAAATGAGTTTAACATACATATATGATAAATCTACACTTTTAATAGATTTATTAAACGAACATGCAGAAAAATGAAAGAAAATAAATAAAAATACATTAAAAATAAGGAATAATGTTTAAATTTGCATAATTAATTAAAAGAAAAAAGATTCACTTAATTATAAATTCCTTGTTATACTTCATCAATTTTGATGTAATTTCAGATTTAGAATTCAGAGAGAAGAAATTGGAAGGATTTAGAACCTTGAAGTGGAGTTTGGGAAAAAAAAAGAAAAAGAACATTTAAATTTCCATATCCTCACATTTTGAGTTAGAAGTTGACCCAGGACAAGCACTTTTCAATGTCCTCACTTTCAATGCTTAAAAAAATATTTAAAGCTAATAAAATTCGCACAAGTCCTTTCATCTAAGACTCAATGTCTCCAAATCCTTACAAAACATATAATTTAAAGTACGAGTTGGAACTTCCAAAACTTAACGTCCTCATATCTCATACATAAAAAGTAAACAATAGCTTGTAAGGCAAGATGTTTAAAGTCAATTCTCTTAAAATTTTTTGGAATGTTCTAAAATGTGAGACCAAGAAAGGACATTAACTTCACATTGATCCATCATCAAATTTGAAAAACTCTAAATAGCTGAAGATGTTCAAATTTAGGGATTTTTTTTTTATTCCGCCTATCTTTCTAATTAATTTTCTGCAATTTATATTTGTATTTTTCATGTGTTTAGCTTTAGCATTTTTCCTTTCTTTGATTTTTGTTTTTCAAGTTCTCTCTTTTCTTAATTTGTATGAGATTGAAGTGAGATACTTTGTACACAAAGATTAAACTTTAATTGAAAGATATTTTTCTAAATATTTCTTCTTTGCTTACTTTTTCTACATTTTCACCGTGTATTGCTAAATTCCTAGGTTAGAAGAGGATGTAATTAGAATTCAAGCTCCTTTAATTTCTGTTTCTTTTAATCTATTTTAGAATTTCTTGATGAATTGTATAATTTTATTTTTGTTATTAATACTTCAATTGAATTGGCCTTTAATTGTATGTATCTAAAATATTTCTGTACACTGGATAGACTAGTAGACATGTTTAAATCTAAAGTAAGCTTCTTTAATTTTTAATTACCTAAAAATAGAAGTTGAATGTTAATGTAATTGTTATTAATTCCACTTTGCAAATGCTATATTTTTTTTGTTGAATCTACCGAAGACATTAGAATTTTTTTAAGCTAAGAATTAGTGTAAAATATCAAAGCATTGGATTTTAGTACTAGAGATTTAGATTATTTAAAATCATCATGAAAGTGACCTAGAATTCCTATTTGCTACAAGAGTGAGAATCTAGATGAATTTTAAATTCTACCCACCTTTGTTATTATGATATTCATCTGAATTGTGTTCATTACTCTGTATAAATATGTTTTCTATCTTTCACAAAGTGTTTTACATTTTTTCCATAAAATTTTATGCATTATTTTATCTGATTTTTTTAATTCCTTTAGCGACTTGAATTATTATTTTGTTATTTCCTTTCAGCACTACTCACTTTTCAATTCAAATTTAACATAAAACTAAAAAAAATGATAATTAGTCTATTTTTTGCTGAGTTCTTGCTAATGGTTAGCTTAGTAAAATTCTTCATGAAAATGATGCATTCTTTACTCTTTTCAAACGATTAGTGCATTTACCATATTTGGTAGTTCAAACTAAGCATAACATCAAGTTTTTGGCACCGTCTTGTGATGATTTATTTTTTAACAACAATTAGCGTACAACTTCAATTGAATTTAACTTTTGATTAGTTTTGCTTTATTTGTTTTTCTTGATTTCTGAATTGTTTGGAAATTTATTTATTTTAGTGCTTACAGTTTGAATATATTTTTGTGATTGTATTATTACATTTTTTTGGTTAGATTCCTAGTTGTGTTGCAGAGTAATCTGTTAATTTTAACATGTGTCTTATTTCTTTTAGAGTTTACAAATTAATCAATAGTTTACTCTTATAAATTCAATTTTTTGTTCTTGCTTTTAGAACTTGATATTGATTTTGTTGTTGTGTACATGCATAAGTGTGTTTAATTGATTGTTTGCTTTTAGATCTACTTTTGTACGCTAAGGTTTGCTAAGCTAGAAAATTTTTTATTTGAATCTGGGATTGAAAGAGTGATTAGCAAATTATGAACTTGCATTTAAAATTATTCACTGAGATGAGCGTTTAAAATTCGATTATAGATTTTATAAAATTAATTTTGTTTAAAAGGAATTGTAATGTAAAGTAATTAATATTTACATTTTTAAAAAAAGTAATTTGTAGTAAAATTCAATGTAAATTTTATAATTCCTAACAAAAATTACAATTTATCAATTTTTAAAGAGAAAATTAGTGTATAACTAAAAAAAAATTAAACATCAAATTTTCCCACCAAATCACAATATCATAAAATGAACATAATTTTAAAATATTTTAACATACATCCAAACGTACACTTAATTTGAGATCTAATTTAATAATTGCACATATAGTTGGTCCACTGTACACAGCTTAAATACTTTTATTTATTTATTTCTCTAGCACATTTCTAACACTACCTATGTTTTATTCCATGAAGAAGAAAAAAACTAGGTTTGGGGGGCGAAAAAACTTGGTTATACTTATCCTAGGTACTTGGAATTGGAAATAAGTCGAGGCAAACAGGAAATATTTATAAAAGACCTTACAACCAAAAACAATTGATTTTGTAATGACAACTGGAACGAAGGAAAATAAATAAATAAATATTGGAATGAGTGTAGCCCCGCAGATCCAATCAATTCAACTCAAAATCTTCTATATAAATACCATCCTATGCCATTCTAACTTCACTTGCTCTTTAATCCTCTGCTTCTTCTCTTTCTCTCTGCATTGCCTTCCGTAGAGGCTCTCTACTCAGCCACAACCATGGTTGCAGCTGAAGTCATGCCTGAGAAACCACTTCAAGCAGTTCCCATCCTTCCAAGAGAAAGCAGTTTTTCATCTTCATCTAGAAGGTACTACTTTCAAATTTCAATGTATAAGAAACGTTTCCATTTCCATTTTATGCCATTTCAGTTCCATATATATATTATAGAATTTAGTCCTTAATCTCCAATCTTGTTCTGTTTTCCTCTAAAATGAAGCAAGATCTTCAAAGAAGCAAAACCCTGCCTCTATAACTTTATCAATTATAATCAGGCAACTTTAATAAAAGTGGTATTAATATGTTTTTAACATGTTTTTTTGTAACGTATTTTAACATTATTAACTATATTAAAAATTACATTTAAAGTGAATTAATAATATTTTTATGATTGCTTTTTAATTTTTAACCCATGTCATTAAGGCATGGATTAACATTTTTCTTATTTATAATCTGAACATTGTGTAGCAAGGCCTAATTGAACTCTTGACATGATATTATTCCTACCTACAACATAGTTTATAGGTACATAAAGAAAGTGTAAACTTCGTAAGTTTTAGAAAACAATTGGTCATGTTCTCTAGTCACATGATTACAAAGTGTTTCATGGTGTTATAGGTTGGAAGGCAAGGTTGCAATTGTAACTGGGGGTGCCAGAGGAATTGGAGAAGCAACGGTGCGAGTTTTTGTGAAGAACGGGGCAAAAGTGGTGATTGGTGATGTTGAGGATGCACTTGGAACCATGCTTGCTGAGTCTTTAGCACCTTCAGTGACCTATGTGCACTGTGATGTTAGTATAGAAGAAGAGGTTGAAAACTTGGTGAGTTACACGGTTTCTCGCTATGGACAACTTGACATAATGTTCAACAATGCTGGGGTGCTTGGGAACCAATCAAAGAACAAGAGTATTACAAACTTTGACCCTGAAGAGTTTGACCGAGTCATGCGTGTGAATGTGAAAGGAATGGCCTTGGGAATCAAACATGCGGCTAGGCTGATGATTCCTAGAGGAATTGGGTGCATTATTTCCACTGCTAGTGTTGCTGGGGTCATGGGTGGGCTTGGCCCACATGCTTACACTGCTTCAAAGCATGCCATAGTTGGGCTCACAAAAAACACTGCTTGTGAGTTAGGGAGGTATGGGATAAGGGTCAATTGCATTTCACCATTTGGGGTGGCCACTTCCATGCTTGTGAATGCTTGGAGAACAAGTGATGATGGTGATGATGATGGGGACATCAATTTTGGGTTGCATTTCCAAGACGAAGCGGAGAAAATGGAGGGGTTTGTTAGGGGGCTTGCCAATTTGAAAGGAACTACTTTAAGGGCCAAAGATGTTGCTGAGGCTGCACTTTATCTTGCTAGTGATGAGTCCAAGTATGTTAGTGGTCATAATCTTGTTGTGGATGGTGGAGTCACCTCCTCAAGAAATTGCATTGGCTTGTGATTTTCATGTTTATTATTTTTCTTTTTGGCTATCGATGTAGGATCATTAAGCTTGTAAAATTATTTCATCAAACTAATTGTAGTAATTTTTTAGACTCTGGCCATGATATATTGAATATCAATACCAAGCATATCGTGTCAAGTAATTGTATTGCTTGAAGCCAATTGGTCTCCGTTTTACATTGATGACTATATGAGTATACATAACTGGTCTTGTTCTTACCATTACTTGTGAAGAATAATCAATTTAAGAATTAGAATTTTGTATTTTTGCCTTGCATTTAAATTTATAATAGAATCGGATAGAATTATACTCCATTATCGCATGAGGGTAAGGAATTATAGTGCTGTAGTTTTCATTCTTTTTTACCTTTAGATTGTACGTAAGTCGTGTGGTAATTGGTAAAGGGCATTTTTTTGGACTAATGATTGCAACTTATTAGCACAGTATGTTTTCACGTTTAAATAGGTATAAAATGATATATTCATTTTAATATTATTAATTATAACTTTTGTGTTAGATTCACATTTATAAATTTTTTAACTCATTTTTAAATTCCCACTAGAAAGGTAACAACTCCCTCACTTAGAAAAGAAAAAAGGATATATTACTAGCATAACAGTTTTAAGATACAATGATTCATCAGGTTACATACTATGTAAAAATAACAATTGAAAGCTCAAGAATATGTGAGATCAAGAGAAAAAACAAAAAGGAAAGGTCAAGTATCTGACATTGTCATACACCAGGAAAGATCTCACCATCACTGGCTTGTGTTGATGAGAAATTCTCAAATGTTTTGGTGCGAGAGATTGGTCACATTCATACTATTTAATTTGCACCACCTTAATTATAATATTAAAAGTTTAGTCAACTTTTAAAACAGTGATGACTCATAGAACTAAATAATATAAAGGCAATTCACAAGGAGATTTCTCTGGACTTTCCTTAATTGTTGAATCCAGGTTTTCATTCAGAATGTCATGGTTATGCCGCCACCTGGCTGATTTGGATTCGTTAGCTAGTTTACAAAAAGTCAATTATCTACCATTTTTTTTATGGTCATGGTTCTGGTTCAAAGAGGATGATACTTCAGAGTGAATAAGTAAATGAACCTTTTGTCAGCTTCCAAACAAATAAGTAAATTTAAAAAGTGAATAAGTTTATTTATTTTTAATCAATTTTATTAACTTCAACTCTGAAGATTAAGTTTTATTTTCTTTTTTATTTTTAAGCAATTTAAAAAGTAAATATTTCTTTTTTTAATAAAAAATATTACTTTCAGTGGTTTATTTTCAACTTTTAACAGTGAGGTCAATATTTTTTATTTTAAAATTTTTAGTTATTTATAAAAAATGTTTAATATAAATAAACTATAAATATATATTTATCTTTTTATTTTACATGTTTTTTCACTTTAAATGAACTAAATTCTAACTACCTACTAGATGAAAGAACATAGACATTTGATTTCATTAGGAATGGCTTTATCAGTGTCAACTTAAAAGTTTACTTAAACCTTTAAGCTGACATCATTAGTTAGCCAGCCATCCACCAGTACCTTCGTCATTCACAATGCCCTCACTGATTTTGAATAAGAAGTGTTCTTAAGATGTACACAGAGATTGTGTACATCAATCTCGGTGAAGATTTTCTAAAATGCTAGATGTATTAAAAAACGAGAAAAGTTAGGTAGTATAAAATGTGTTTTTATAGTTCTTTTTAATTAAAATTAAATTTTTACTTTAATAACTTATATACTAATGATTAATATTTAAGATTTAGTGTATGTTGTCCAAATAATTTTTTTTAATTAAAAAATTATAAAATGTATATCATATTACATATAAGTTTTTGTTTTGTTTTCCTGTATTCATACGAATTTTTTTATGTGAAGAAAGAAATAAATTCGAAGTCTAGCTAAGAATTGCTATATTTTTATTAAAATTTGAGACCTTTTTTATTATCTTTATACTTACCCCTATTATTTTATAGGATCTTGTAATCTAAACAACTTGCATAAAAGTATTTATGTACTATTATATTTAACTTAAAATAGATATGATGAAAAAAGATCTAATGACTTATTAAATAATAACTCCACTATTATTTTTTCATCAGTCATTTCTTATACTTTCTTCTAAACTGGACATTGTATTTTAACGTTGGAAGATCCAATTTGGTATCTATCTAGGCTGTCATGGTGATGACTTCGACATTATACAAGGATTGTGTTATTGACCTCATCATTCTAATGCCATGGAAATCAAAATCATTGACACTTGAAAAGGAGATTAATTAGTAGAAGAAGAAAAAGGTAGGTTAAGACAGCCAAGAATGAGTGGAGAAAGATGCAGGACCAGGTGGCAAGGCATTGTGAATCTCTTAAAAAAAAATTGCAAGTTCAAGATCTTGTGCAAACGATTTCTGACCCGTATCTTGTTTTGGACCACTTTGCTGACAGGGACTACCTAATGCATCAAGGTTCAACGAGTTTACTTTGTTACCAATGTGAAATTGGTGCAATCGAAGATATTTTAATAACAATTGAAGACCACTGTTTGATTATTCTTTTTCATGCTGAAATGGAAGCGCCTGTTAGGAGAATAGCTGGTTGTGTAAGGTCCCTTCTCATAAGCTATTGACATTTCTCGCTTTCTTTTAAGAGGAAGGATTATGTTGTTAAAATTATTTAATTCATTTGTCAATATAGATAAAAGAAATTCAATTATTTTTTTAAAATTATAATATATCCTTTATTAGTAGATTTTTAACACTTAGATTACTTTAATAAACATTTTATACATATATAAATATCATTAAAAATAATTAGTATTATCTTGAACTAGATAAATAATATTTTTTCTCTGAAAAATAATCAGAAACTAAAATAGTATATAATAAGATAAGATACTATTTTTCTTTTCTCAAATTTTCTATTTTTGAAGGAAATAAGTTTGATGTCAGTTCAACTTTTGATATTTTCTTTTTCCTCCTAGGTGTAGAATTTTTTTTTTATTGTTAATCTCAATCTTAAAATTAATTTAAAGTAAATAATAATAATAATTTATTAAAAAAAATTATTATACCTTTTTTATTTTTAATATATAATAAATATTTTATTTAAATAAAAATTTAAATAATTAAAATTTTAGAAGTTTTGGTAGGTTATAAGCCATTAGTTAGGGCACAAGTTGTATCCAAATTAATTTATTTTTTATATATAGAAAAATGTTAAGACTTTAAATATCTAAAAATAAAAAAGTTATTTGAAAAAATATTTATTACATTAAAATACAAAAGTATAATCAATAATTATTGAGCATATGAATCATTTAATAAGAAATTGTTCTAATTTAATATATAATCTTTAATTTAATGTGTTAAATATTTAGAGAGAAGAATTTAACACATGATAATTCTACTTAATTCAAACTTGATTGTCTCCAGTGAAAAGATACATGTAGTTTAGATAAAAATAAATAAATCTTTTGTTAATAAAAAATTTATATTTTAAATGTTAAAATCATATAATTTAAGAATAATACTAACAAAACACTCTTTGTAACAAACTCTTTATTATTAGTTAAAAATTTTAAAAACTAAAAATATCATATAAATCATGTACTTTTCGCTTATAAATTAATGTTTCTCTTTTATATTTTTAAAAATTTTAATTAATAATAAAAAATATGTCATAGAGAGTATGTTGTTAACACTCTTCTAATTTTAAATCATTCTATATATCTTTTATGTCTATAAATTTTCATAATTATTAAATACTTTTCATATTTTTATGATAATAACTTTATTTATATTTTTATGTTTAATTTATAAAAAAAAAATTAACAATAAAATTTTGTTTAAGAGAGTACAGTAAAGTTTCTTAAAATCAACCTAAATGTTAAGTTTCGAAAATTTGAATTTGTTCCTGTTAGAGTGACATTTTAGCATTAGTTTAGAAATGTATGAAAATAATTTACATATGTCACCTCATGCATACTTATAATTAAGTTTGTATGGAGTATTGTCATCCATCAAATTGTGCTATAAAAAATTCATTTAATACGAACATTAAGCTTAAAATTTCTTAAGAATATCATTCACGAGTACGTTTCTAGACACATACTAAAGAATAAAAATATTTTTTATTTTTAAAAATACAAAAATAATATTTTATTTTAAAACATTAAACATTTTTTTTTTAGTTTTAATTTTTTAACTTACCCAAACTCACGTTAAAAAAAAAGGAATAAATTTCAAATTCTTGTTATTTGAGATGTGCTGATTCATGAATGCAAGTTGGTTTCAATACTCATTAGTCCAAAGGTTACTATACTACCTCGCAGCAAACAAACTTTGAATTTGCAACTTAATTATATATACAATTCACATTCAGTAACACATTCTTCGAAATAATCGATGTTGTGGTTACGGACAACGCAAGAACAGAGGAAGTCCACTACCTTGAAGACTGGCGAATCTTGGAAACCTCCAAACTTCAACACAACGCGAGGCAAGAGATTTTGTTTCTGCTTCAAGAGTTTCGAGTTTAGGATCCTATCATAATAGGAGTGCTGTATCTATGTAGCCTAGCTCATTAAGCCACAAATTGCAAATAAAATATGGCTTTTGTCAACACTTGCTTATTAAAGAATGATAGAACCTTCAAAATAAAATATGAAATATTTAATACATTGAAAATTTAAACATTTTTATTCACTTCTTTAATTTTTAACGAATAATGTTCTTGAGATAATATATTGCTAAACTCATAAGATTGTCTCATATAAAGTAAAAAAAATTGTATAAAGTAAGAAAGTAAATTTTATTACTATTAATTTAATGTTGATTATTTTCATAAAACATTTAAATTCAAATTAATGATAAATAAACTATCACTTTCCTACTTCATGCGTACCCTCATTTTAGACAGTTAAATTCCATAGAATAATATCTCTTTGGCTTTACTCACATTTGGAAGAGAAAAAAGTCAAGCA